AAATGTATAAAATTAAAACGTAAAATATTTTAATAAAAATATATAAAGTTGAAAAAAGAAGATGTTTAATTAAAAAAAATATAACAGAACACAGAAGAAAACTTTCTGTAGAAGAGTTTTGAATAAAAAACAGTCCAAATAAGATAATTCTATAGGAAATAATAGAAAGAAGACCCTTTTCTATAAAAAAAATGTTTAAGGAAGACATTTTTCTATAGAAAATTGTAAAAAGAAGAAAGTTTTCTATATAAAATTTTATAAAGAAGACTATTTTCTATAGAAAATTGTATAAAGAAGACACTTTTCTATAGAAAATTGTATAAAGACATTTTTGTATAGAAAATTATATAAAGAAGACACTTTTGTATAGAACATTATATAAAGAAGACACTTTTGTATAGAAAATTTTATAAAGAAGACACTTTTGTATAAAAAATTTTATAAAGAAGACACTTTTGTATAGAAAATTATATAAAGAAGACACTTTTCTATAGTAAATTATATAAAGAAGACACTTTTCTATAGAAAATTATGTAAAGAAGACACTTTTCTATAGAAAATTTTATAAAGAAGACACTTTTGTATAGAAATTGAGAAGAAGAGACTCTTCTTTAGTAAATTGTATAAAGAAGACACTCTTCTATAGAAAATTGTATAAAGAAGATGTTTTTCTATTGAAACTTGTATAAAGAAGGTACTTTCTATAGAAAATTGTATAAAAAAACACTTTTCTATAGAAAATTGTATAAAGAAGACACTTTTCTATAGAAAATTATATAAAGAAGACACCTTTCTATAGATAATTATATAAAGAAGACACTTTTCTATAGAAAAGTTTATTAAGAAACACTTTTCTATAGAAAATTGTATAAAGAAGACACTTTCCTTTAGAAAATTGTATAAAGAAGACACTTTCCCTTAGAAAATTGTATAAAGAAGACACTTTTCTATAGAAAAGTGTATAAAGAAGACACTTTTCTATAGGAAATTATATAGAAAAGTGTCTTCTTTACAATTCTATAGAAAATTGTATAAGGAAAAAACTTGTTTATAGAAATTGTAAAAAGAAGACTCTTCTATAGAAAAGTGTCTTGAAATTGTATATAGAAGACACTTTTCTATAAAAAAATTATAAAAATTACACTTTTTATAGAAGTTTGTATAAAAAGACATTTTTTATAGAAAATTGTATAAAGAATACACTTTTATATAGAAAATTGTCTAAAAGAGACATTTTTCTATAGAAAATTGTATAAAGAATACACTTTTATATAGAGAATTGTCTAAAAGAGACAGTTTTTTATAGAAAATTGTATAAAAAAGACACTTTTCTAAAGAAAATTGCATAAAGAAGCCCCTTTTCTATAGAAAATTATATAAAGAACACAATTTTCGATAGAAAAATTAAGTTAGACTTTTTTAAAAGAACTTTTTGTAAAGTTTTAATTTTTTTATTATAAAAATGGTCCTACGAGAGTTTAGTTTTTTTATCAAACTTACCTATATTTCAAGTTAAATAATAAAATCGAGAAATTTTTTTGAGTGTAGCTCAGTTTTATTCACCAACAACGTATTTAATTTCATTTTAAATTTAATCATATTAATGATTTTTTGTTTTTGTTTTTAGGTTTTAGGTTTTTAAATCCATTTATAAATTCTTAAAAATCTAAAATATTAAGGGTATTTCAAAATACATTTAATTATTTATTAATATTTGAATTTAGTTGCTTTTGTTAAGGGTTTCCTCTTAATGCTTTTTTTTTCGAACATTTTCAAATAACTTTTTTTTTAAATCATGTTAATGTCAAAGTGGTTTCTTCCATTGTTATATTTTTCATGTAAAAGCTAATATTTTAGATAATAATATTAATTATTAAGTTATATAGTATTTTAAGTATATATTTTTGACTATTATGCTCAAATGCAAAACAATTTTTTTTCTTCAAATTTTTTTTTCAGGAATTTTTTTTCTTTAAGTTTTAAATGTTAGTTTAAGGTTTAATAATATTTGGTCACAAAGAGCTTAAAGGCTAAAAATATTTTATAGTTTAGTTTTATGTAAATATATAGTTAATGATATAGATATAGTTATAAGTTATTTATAGTTTATATCAGTGAATAGTGTGTTTGACCCCATACCAGCTTTTTTTTTGATTATGTGCAAATATGTATGTTTGTTATAATATTTATTTAATAATATATAGGTTTAAATAGCCAATTGTTTAATATATTTTTATTATATTCATATTTTGTTTTAAATACTTTTAAACTTATATTGTCTAATTCACACAATAATACTCATTAACGATCTAAAATCGTTTTAATGATTTTTTATATATTTTAAATATTATTAAACTATTTTTGTTTTTTTTTTTAGTTGTAACTTGAAAACCGTTTAAACTTTTTTTTATATTTTTATAAATAATTACCCTGTACATAAGCTTTTTTTATTAAATTATTTAAATATTATAATAATGATTGCATTTTTGTGGCAATTCTTGGGCGTTTTTCTTTAAGTTTTTTTTATTAAATTTAAACAGAAACGTTCTACTACATCAATTTTTAATATTGTTTTTCTTCTAAATATCAGCAAGTATTTCAGCTATTTTATTATGTACATTTTTTTGAATATAACTTTTATTAAATACCTGCTTTCAACTACAAATGTTTGCTTTTCAACTTTGGTTTTGCAAATTTAACCCAAATTTACATTAAACACGGTTAAACTGTAAATGGTTTTTATTAAGTGTCATTGTTATTTTATAAAGGACTTATAATACAAAGAATAAAACATTTACTACATTTTATATTTATTTTTAATTTAAAAGAAAATTGTTTAAAAATCAATAAATTCAAATGGTTCTTCGAGATGAAGCTTAAAATTTCCTATAAAAAAAGTACCTAGAAGAACTTTTTCTTAAATATTTCAAAATATTAAAAAGAATGGTCCTTCCAGCCCAAGTATTCCAATTTAAAATCTGGTACTAAAATGCTTTAAATTGTACTAAAAGTTATTACTGGAAGAATGTAAGAACAAACTTTGTTTTACATTAAGTTCTGAATTGGAACTTGAAAAGTGTAGTCTATGGTCCTTCCAGTCGATGACAATAAATCTAAAGGTTTTCAGCAAAATTTTTATAAAGTTTCTAGAAGAACTTTTTCTTAAATATTTCAAAATCTTTTTAATAAAAATGGTCCTTCAAGCCAAAGTTTTAGCATTTTAAATCATGAATAAATTATTCTTCAGAGAATTTAAAGTAAAAGAGCAGAAAACTTTTGAATTGAAACCAAAAATGGTCCATTCAGTAAAACGATCTAGAGTTCCTCAGAGAACTTTTCCTTAAATTCTGTAATGAAAACGTTTCTTCAAGATGAAGTAATTGATTCAAATAAAGTAAATGGCTCAATATCCATCTTCAGAGAACCATTTCTGATATTCTACAAGACTTTTTGTAATTAAAACGTTTCTACAAGATGAACTAAATGATTCGAATGTAAAATTTCGAATGATTCGAGTTCTTCTGAGAACTTTTTCTTTAATGTTTTAAGACTTTTTATAATGAAAATTATACTTCTAATGAAGTAAATGATTCGAAAAGAAGAGTCAAAAATTTCTTAAAGAAACGATTTTTTTTTTAAGTTTTCTAATCTTTTACTAAATACGGTCCTTCGAGCCGAACTAAATAGCAACTGAAATTCTTAAAGAAATTCTAAATTTTTATTTGAAATTATTGAACTTGAAAAAATTGTATGATTTCTCTCATAATCTATATGGTACTTCCAGCCGAAATTAAGACAAATAGAAAACTTGATAATATTGAGAAAATTCTTATGATTTCTCTCGAAATCTTTTTCTACAAATGGTCCTTCCAGCCGAAGTAACAGTAAATAAAAAATCTTGATAATTTCTTCCAAAATATATATGGGTTTTTAAGACAACTAGAAAATCTAGAACTTTACTTGATAATATTGAGAAAAATCTTGTTATTTCTCTCGAAATCTTTTTCTACAAATGGTCCTTCCAGCCGAAGTAACAGTAAATAGAAATTAAATTTAAAAAAATGTTCTGAACAAAGCTTGATGCCTTAAAATATAGAGAAAAATCTGGTGATTTCTCTCTTAACTCTCTCTTTAAATATGGTTCTTCCTGCCAAGGCAAACAAAATAAAGAAAATCTACATCTAATTAATAAATTTAAATTAAAATTATTTATTAAATAAATTTTTCTTGAATTTCAACAAGAAAATATTAAGAGCAATCTTGAGATTTCTCTTGAAATATCTTTTAAAAATATGGTCCTTCGAGCCGAAGTAAATAAATTCCATTTTTGGAAATAATTTAGTTAAAATTTCAAAAATCTTTTAATTTCTCTTAAAGAATTTGAAATTTTGATAAGAGAAGTTTTTAACATTAAAATTTGTATTTTTTTTAACAAAAATTTGCAGCCATTCAAATTTTTGCTTAAAAAATACTTAAAAATTCTTAAAGTAATTAATTTTTTTTAAACAATTTTCTTTTTAAAATTTATATAAATTTTATAGTTATATTAAGCACAATACATAATTATAAGTATATTTAAATAGTTTTTTATTTAATATTTAAATATTTTTTATTAATAATTTTTTTACTAAAACTACTTTATTCCCTTTTTTGTGTCAGATAACTTGTGCATTAAAGCAAATATTACATTATTATTTAACTAGATTTTTATTTTAATATATATTTTTGGCAAAAATTTTCTATAATAGTATATAATTAATAACAGTTATAAACAAAACAAAATTTAAACTTTAAAATATTGCTATTTTAAAAGTTATAATTATAGTTTAATTTATAAATTGATTTGTTAAAAGGAAAATTTTTACCAGGGTTTTTTTTCTCGATATAAAAAAACCCCTCGTGTCATCTTTGCTCCACTCAAATTTGTAACATGTTTCAATAAGTTTTTAAAATTTACATATTTACAAACCCTGTTATATTATTTGGGGAATTTTTTTTTTAAATTTCAAAACACAAAAGTCAATTTTATTATAATTTTTTAGTTAAAAATTTTACAATTTCCAAATTCTTTAACATTCTACAAAAATCTTTATAAAAATTTATTATGAATTTAAATCGTGCTAGAAATGTTTGTAAGTTTTTCTTATTTAAATAATTAACAAATAAAAATTTTAAAATATTTCTATTCTTCAGTCACTTTGGGAAATTTTCAATTGGCCTCAAATTGTATAACAAAACGCTCTAAGCCTAGTGATCCATTTGAAAGAGATCCCTTCAAAATTCAATCCTATAACTTTCGTTATGCCGATAGGCCCACATATCCTATAGCAGCTGTACCGCCCAGAGTTATCCAACAACCAGAGTCTTTAAATAAATGTCAAACCTATTTTTATAATCCTAATTTTCCGGTTTCAAAGAATTCTAACGGACCAACTAAAACTAGTTCAACTAATGTGGAAAGAGCCTTAAATTTAAGTAAATTTCAAGAATATCGTAGAAGAAAATTTCTACAAGAGCCAGCAGTGGGACTTAAAAGACCTAAAGAATATTCTAAAAACTATGAAAGCAAAATTCTGAATTTATATTATGGCGCGGACAAAGATATTCCCTTAACTTCATCTAAAACTTATAATTTGGCTTGTCCTACTACTAATTATAATATTCCCCCAAAAGCATCTCAAGCCTCGGTTAGAAATTGTTATAAATCGGATACTGTCAAACCCTCTACTTCTAACAGAGTTTATCAATCTTTAGCTTCTTCTAATGTTGCAAATGTTGCCAATAGTAGAAGCAGCATAAGTTCTGGTTATGAAATCAATATAAATATCAAAAATTTGGATCATAATTCCTTGCAAGATAGTGTTAATATCAAAATAGAAACCGATTCTATATATAGAAATTTAAATATACCTCAAACAAAAAACTCCCATAAATCCCTACAAAATAAAAGCCAATTGAATACATCGCAAAGTTTTGTTATAGACAAAAGATTGTCTAAATTCTCGGTAAAACCGGAAACTAAAACCGATTTAAAAATGTCATCTAATGAACGTGTTAAACAATTAACTTCTATTTATCAATCTAACTGCCAAATTCCTAAGAAATCGGTCAGCTCTCAAAAGAACAATAAATTAAATGAACGTTTACCCAGTTTAATACCCTTAAATACCAATAGCCCCCGTTCTCAGTGTAGTTCCTCAAATGGCCAAGTAAACTCTTTTCGTAAAGTTAAAGATAATTCGAAAGTCTACGATTGTAAAGCTAAATCCAAAAGCTCTAGTTGTAGTAATAATAATTTGTATAGCAGCAGTCCTTATATTACGATTAATAAGGGTTCAAAACTTTTAAATTCAAGCCCCTATGAGGTTAAATCTTCTTTATCGAAAAATTATAATTGCAAAAGACAATCTTCTCCTCTGGAGTCCTCCATACATACTCTGCACTCGGCTGCTAATAGATGTGATTTCAAGACCACGGCCCCCTTGAGAATGCGTAGTTCGATAAAATTACCTTTAAATGTGAACATCAATGTATTTGCCGATAAATTGAAATTAATGAAAATTTAAGTTTAACTACGATTTGACAAATGTTAAGACATAATTATGTTAGATAACTGGTCCATAGTAAATTTTAAAATCTAGTCAAAAGTTTAGTCTAAAATTGGACTAAATCTGCTCTTTAGTATATTCCATTGTCTGTGCTATAGTTTATTCTATAGTCTGGACTACAGTCTAGAATATAGTCTATAAAATAGACTATTCTAAAGTTTGGACTATAGTTTATCCTATAGTATGGACTATAGTATTTTCTATAGTCCTAACTATAGTCTAAACTGTAATCTATACTATACTTTGGACTGTTGTCTATTTTTCTTCAATATTTTGGACTAGAACAACAAGAGTAACAGCCTGACATATTTATGTCTTACAAATGTTAAGACATTATTATGTCAGTCCCTAAACTTTATTATAAATCTCAATCATGTTGTTAACAATTTTGAAATTTTTGAAAATATATTATTGATTTTTTTCTATATAAAATTTGTTAAATTTTCATTTCAATTTCAGATTTTTTAAAAAAATATTGACTCATCTCAATTCCAGTGGTTACATTGACAACAATTTTCCTTACTGGGAGTAGGAATTTTCAAATTTGAAAATCCCTTTAAAAGTTTTTTTTTTTTGATTTATAAAATTATAGATTTTATAAAAGTTTTATTCATATTTTAAGAAAATTTTCATAAAAAAATTTATTTTTTTTTATAAAAATTTTATTAAAGTTGAAGTAAAATTAAAAAAAAATTAATTTAAAAGTATAAAAATAAAAATATCGGAGTCAAATCACTCCGATTCCGCAGGAGCTAAAATAGATTCTAAATATGAAAAGTTTTAAATATATCATTTACTTTATTATGATAAATAATAGGGCATTCAAACGTTTAACCGTTATCGGTTATCTAATTACTATTATTCGATTAACTGTTCGAATAATTGGAAATTAACCGAATAAAAAAAATTTAAACTTTCATAGAGAAAATTTTCTGTTTTAAATAAAATAAAATTACGTTCACTAGAATTACGATTTATTTGATGTAATTTTTATAAAAAAAAAACATTAAAATTTTCTTTTAATATGAAAGGAAAATTTGTGAAAAAAAAAAAAACGATTAAAGTAAAAATTCGAATAATTGTAAACCCTAATTAATAATTTGTAAAAAATCGTTTTCGAATCCAATAAATAAATCGTTTATACTCTGTAAATGAGTTTAAACCTTTAAATTTTAAAATATTTTAAAACTTTTCATACAATTTAAAAAAAATTTTGTTAATCTTTAAAAAAAAACTAAAAATTTCTTTGGGAAGGGTTTTTAGTTAAGATTTTTATACATAGTTTTAATAACACCCGCTTGAACGAACTATATTTTTTTTTTAATATTTTTTTTTTTTTGTAAATTTTTGTGGTTTTTCTCTTTAAAACCATTTGCTTTTTTTTAATAAATATTGAAATATTTGTTTAAATTTCAACAAGTAATAAAATAAAATTAGAAAAAAAAACATCAAAAGCTTTTTAACCAAAAAAACAATAAATTTTTCATATGATATTTCTGATATTATTGGTTGAGTATTTTTTTTTTTGAGATTTTTTCTATATAGTTTTCTTTTATCGTAGAATCGTGCATTTTTTCGTTAGTTTTTTTTAGTGAGAATCGTTAGCCATTAGAGTGAGAGAGTTGTAATTATTCGTCATCGTCGTAATTTTGATATGTAACATAACGTACCGCTGGACGTTCGCCAATGATGAGGGACTGAAAAGATAATTTGAGAGATTAAATTTAGGAAGCTATTATATAGAACGAAAACGATGTAGAACTGGTCATACTAAGAATAGTACAGGTCATACCACAGTCAGGATTATAGTTTTTAGTTTGGACTATAGACAAGTCTATAGTATGGACTATAGACAAGTCTATAGTCTGGACTACAGACAAGTCTATAGTCTGGACTATAGAAAAGTCTATAGTCTGGACTATAGACAAGTTTATAGTCTGGACTATAGACTATAGATATGTCTATAGTCTGGGCTATAGATAATTCTATAGTCTGGAGAATAGATAAGACTATAGTCTAGTCGATAGTCTGGACTGTAGTTTAGCCTATAATCTGTACTATAATCTACTCTACAGTTGGTCGATAGTCTAGTCTACAGTTTGAACTATAGTTTAGTCTATAGCCTGTACTATATTCTAGTCTATAGCATGTACTATAGTCTTGTCTATAGTCTGAACTATAGTCTAGTCTATAGTCTGAACTATAATTTAGTCTATAGTCAAGACTACAATCTAGACTATTCTAGTCTATAGTCTGGACAATAGCCTAGTTTATAGTCTGGACTATTGTCTATGCTATAGTCTGGACTATGATCTAGTCTAAAGTATGGACTACAATCTAGTCTATAGTCTAGTCTAAAGAATAGTGTAGTTTATAGTCTAGACTATTGTCTAGTTTATAGTCTGAACTATAGTCCAGTTCATAGTCTGACTATAATTAAGTTTATAATATGAGCTGTCTGAACTATAGTCCAGTCTATAATCTGAACTATAATTTAGTCTATAGTCAAGACCACGATCTAGTCTATTCCAGTCTATAGCATGGATAGTAGTCTAGTTTATAGTCTGGACTATTGTGTAGTCTATAGTCTGGACTACAATCTAATCTACAGTCTGCACAATAGTCTAGTTTATAGTCTAGACTATTGTCTAGTCTATAGTCTGAACTATAGTCCAGTTCATAGTCTGGACTATAATTAAGTTTATAATATGGTCTGTAGTTTATTCCATATTCTGGTCTATAGTATGAAATATAATCTAGTCTATAGTCTGGATTACAATCTTGTCTATAGTTTAGTCTATAGTCTGGTTTATAGTCTGGTCTATAGTTAATTATTACATTCGTTACATTCTCCATTATCTTTAATATTTTACAACAAAAATCAAACAAAAAAGTTTTTAAAATTTTATAAACAGACACATTTTTAAAACTATTTATTAATAAAATAAAAAAAATATAATTTTATAAAAAAACTAAATTTACAAAATTAAAAAAGTGCCAAAAATACTACTAAATATTAAACTTAAAATTAAAATTCTCAAATAAAAATTAAATATAAATAGAATATTTTAATGAATTTTAAAATATTTTTTCCAAAATTTCATTACAAAATTAATTTAAAATTATATAAAAATTGAAAAGAAAAATCTCATATATAAAAAAATACAATCTTTAAGAATTAGGTGTTTAAAAAATTTTCACAAAATAAAGCAACAATTTAAATGTTTTTTTATAACATTTAAATTAAAAACAAAATTTTACTTAATAAAACTAAAGAAATTACTTTAAATTTACAAAATTAAACAACTTAAAGAAAATTATGAAAAAAAATACAAAATTATAATAAAAATTTTTAAAGCCTTTCACTTTCATAAGCAGTATTTACAAGGCCATCTTGTAAAATGGCAGGACTGGTTGCTTGTACAGCCGTTACATCATCTACACTACCAACCTTCTTTTCCTCACGTGTCGGGGGATTCTTAAGCAGTGTCAGCAGCGGAGCATACAGGAAACACAATATAGCAATACCGAATAACATCCATTCAAAACCAATCGTTTTTACCAGAGTACCACTTAGGGCAGGACCAACGGCAAAGCCCATACAGAAAGCCACATCACCAAGAGCATAAACACTTCCGTAAACTGCCGAATGACGTATATCCACTAAATAACCTAATTCGGGCATCATAGAAGAATCCACCATACCAATGGCAAAGCCAAGACCAGCATTGGGTATAATCAAATGGGTAATGGAAGTAGCCATGGGAATCTGTAATGGTAAAAAATATGATTTAATTTGGAAATTTGTATTAATATCGGGAGACTACCTACCATTATCAAACAACCTCCTATAATTACCAAACCTAAACAGGCGGCAAACCATCTGCCTATCTTATGGCCTAAAGGACCAAATAGATTGGTACCCACTAGATAACTTATAGAGGCCGGTAGAAAGGCCACACCTTGTTCCCAACGGCTAGAGCCCATGTTATCAACCATCCATAAAGGTAATGAAGGTTCCAGCATAGCAATACCCATATTGGCAAAAGTAATAGAACCTTAAATAGGGGAAACAATAATTAATAAATCATACAAAATTATCAATTATAATAAAAAACCCACCAGCTGCTATCAATATATAAGGATCCGATATCAAGGCCTTTAGAGTGGGAGGTTCTGTCTCGGCTTTCTGTATCGAAGGTTGTAGCATAAACAATTGTAGCAGACCATCTCCCAGAGCCAATACCGAAAGTACTAAAAATGGTGCCGATTTTCCAATAAACTCATACATTATACCACCAAACGGAGGACCTATTAAAACACCCAGAGCTAAACCACCCAAGGCTATACCCATAGCATTGCCACGTTCTTTATCATCAGTATAACGATCGGCTAACATACCCATGCCGGAGACAGAACTGCAAGACGAACCAATACCTTGTAAAGCACGAGCAATGAAGAGCACCAAATAAGAGCGGCCAAAAGCGAAGACTAAAAAGGGAGAAAGGTAAGTGTTTCAGAAAGAGAATTTAGGGGTTTCTATATATATCCGGAGAGACTTACTTATTGTGGATACAAACATAATAACGAAACCGGCAAACATGGGAATACTGTAACCAATTCTGAAGAAGAGAAAAGAGAGTTACATTATTAATAAAGTGTGTCAAATGATTATAGTTTATAGGTCGAACTATAAGTCTAGTCTATTCTAAAGTCTGGACTATAGTTTAGCTTAAGGTCTTATCTATAGTCTAGTCTATAGACTGGAATTAAACTAGTTTATTGTCTAGCCTATAGTCTGGATTATAGACTAGTCTAAAGTCTGGACTATATTCCAGTCTATAGTCTGGACGAAAGTTTAGTCTATAGTTTGGACTATAGTCTAGTCTATAGTCTGGAATATAGTCTAGTATATTCTAAAGTCTAGACTATAGTTAAGCCTAAGGTCTGAGCTATAGTCCAGTCTAAAGTCTAGTCTATAGACTGGAATTAAACTAGATTATTGTCTAGTCTATAGTCTGGACTATTGTCTAGTTCATAATCTGGACTATAGTCTAGTTTATAATCTAGACTATAGTCTAGTCTATAGTCTGGACTATAGTCTAATCTATAGTCTGGATTGTAATCTAGTCTAAAGTCTGGACTATGTTCTAGTCTATAGTCTGGACTAAAGTCTAGTCTATAGTATGGACTTTATTGTAGTCTACAGTCTGGACTATAGTCTAGTCTATAATCTGGTCTATAGTCTAGTCTATAATCTGGTCTATAGTCTAGTCTATATTCTGGACTATAGTCTAGTCTATAGTCTGGTCTATAGTCTAGTCTAAAGTCTGGACTATAGTCTAGTCTATGGTCAGGACTATAGTCTAGTCTATGGTCAGGACTATAGTGTAGTCTACAGTCTGGACTGTAGTATAGTCTGAACTCTAATCTAGTCTAAAATCTTCTTAAAAGTTGTTACTTCAAGATTTTGTCATCTTGATTAAATAAGTTTTGAGTTTCTTTTTCGTACGCTCACCTGTGTGTTAATGGCCCGACAATTGGATTAACCAATAACTGCACAAATGCCTTGGAGGCAAACAGTAGACCTACTTCCACCGTTTCTCCCACCAATTCCTGATGTCTTTCCTCCAGTTCACGATAAAATGTTTCATTTTCTAAATTTGATTAAAAAATCCATTTAAAAATACTTCTCGTTTTATTTTCCATTAATTGTCTATTAAACTTACCCTCTGGACTAAGTGTTGATACATCGTAAGTGGGTATGGCTTCACCATCTTTTAGGCAGGGACATTGGGTGGGTGGCGGTGGTGTGTGTATGGTTAAAGGAGTTCGTGGAAAACTATCCAAGGGTGCGTCTGGGTGGCGTATATCATAAAGGAACTCAGGTATAATAGGAACTGTAAAAAAGGGAAATAAAAATTTTGCATAAATAAAAGTTAGAGTAATTAAGTTGTTTGTTATAAAAAAAGCTTTAACAAAATAATTTTGTGCAGCAATTATGTGGTACAAAAGGGCCAATTTTGTTTGTAAAAGTGTTGAGTCTTTCTCCATTACTTTAAAATTGTTTAAAGTGTGTGTTCCCTTAAAAGTGTCACACATAATTGTAGTACAAGTTGGAAAGTCTGTTGTTGGTTTGAAACAGCTTTATTTTCATTTAATAGAGAGTAAATTGCATTAGGAAACTTGTTGAGGTTTGGGTTTTTTCACAAAATTTTTTTCCTATTTTAATTACTTTTTGTTTTAAACAAAATATGTGTTCTTTAACAAGGAGCAGAGATCTATTACTCTGTTTTTCTTTTTGCAGACAAATTTGTTTAGCTGTTGGTTAAAATAGTTGAGATCAAAATGTTAGCAGTAGATTGTGTTAGAAAGGTTATCAAGAGCTTTAATGTGAATAGTGTAAGAGCAAACACAAAACAGATATCGGTACAGGCTCTCTTAATGCTTAAGTGTCTGTTCAAAATAAAGTGTTTATTCGTTATAAAACAATTACTAAAAATATTAATTGACTAGACTTAATTGTTTCAATAATTTTTACTTCCTCTTAGTGTTATTTTACCCTTTAATATTTCACTTGATATACACAACCCTTTACCCTTTCTCACCCGTACATGTTGCATGTTGCAAGGTTGTTGTTTTTTTGTCTTTCTCTATCGCTTCATTCATATTTACCTACTTCACATAGTTGAAGTTTATCATGTTTTTACATTGTTGTAAATTCAATTTTATAGTCTAAAGTTTTAAAAATTTATTTCGCTCCGGTACTTCTAGGCCATAAAGTGCTAAACACTTGATAATTGCTTTGGCATAATATTGTGGCCATATTTAGACACAACAAACATTTATGTACATACATATCCTTTGGGCTGTTTGCGTGTCGGATATGGTAGTAAGTTTATTTATAATGGCTGCCAGTCTGCCTATGTTGGGTAATTCTCTAAGCAGTAATTATTTTCATTATTTAAATGGAGGGGGGTAATTTTTTGTTCAAATATACAACCGACATACATTTATATTGAAAAGTATTTTAGTGGGTTTATAATTTTTTTCGAAAATTTAAAGTAATTTTTCTAACAAAATGTTGTTTTTGTTATTAAACTGGGTTTACAATTTAAGATTTGTTTCGATATAATAATACTTAACCTATTGTATAACTATATTGAGCTAGTAGATTAGAATATATTCTAGTCTTTAGTCTAGTCTAAGGTCTAATCTATAGTCTAGTCTATAGTCTAGTCTATAGTCTAGTCTATAGTCTAGTCTATAGTCTAGTCTATAGTCTAGTCTATAGAGTCTATAGTCTAGTCTATAGTCTAGTCTATAGTCTAGTCTATAGTCTAGTCTATAGTCTAGTCTATAGTCTAGTCTATAGTCTAGTCTATAGTCTAGTCTATAGTCTAGTCTATAGTCTAGTCTATAGTCTAGTCTAGTCTATAGTCTAGTCTATAGTCTAGTCTATAGTCTAGTCTATAGTCTAGTCTATAGTCTAGTCTATAGTAGTCTATAGTCTAGTCTATAGTCTAGTCTATAGTCTAGTCTATAGTCTAGTCTATAGTCTAGTCTATAGTCTAGTCTATAGTCTAGTCTATAGTCTAGTCTATAGTCTAGTCTATAGTCTAGTCTATAGTCTAGTCTATAGTCTAGTCTATAGTCTAGTCTATAGTCTAGTCTATAGTCTAGTCTAGTCTATAGTCTAGTCTATAGTCTAGTCTATAGTCTAGTCTATAGTCTAGTCTATAGTCTAGTCTATAGTCTAGTCTATAGTCTAGTCTATAGTCTAGTCTATAGTCTAGTCTATAGTCTAGTCTATAGTCTAGTCTATAGTCTAGTCTATAGTCTAGTCTATAGTCTAGTCTATTAGTCTAGTCCTATAGTCTAGTCTATAGTCTAGTCTAATAGTCTAGTCTATAGTCCTAGTCTATAGTCAGTCTATAGTCTAGTCTATAGTCCTAGTCTATAGTCTAGTCTATAGTCTCAGTCTATAGTCTAGTCATAAGTCTAGTCTATAGTCCTAGTCTATAGTCCTAGTCTATAGTCTAGTCTATAGTCCTAGTCTATAAGTCTAGTCTATAGTCTAGTCCTATAGTCTAGTCAGTTAGATCCTAGTCTAATAGTCTAGTCTAGAGTCTAGTCTATAGTCCTAGTCTATAGTCTAGTCTATAGTCTAGTCCTATAGTCTATCTTATAGTCTAGTCTATAGTCCTATTCTATAGTCTAGTCTATAGTCTAAGTCTTAAGTCTCCTATAGTCCTAGTCTATAGTCTAGTCCTATAGTCTAGTCCTATAGTCTAGGTCTATAGTCTAGTCTATAGTCTAGTCTATAGTCTAGTCTATAGGTCCTAGTCCTAATAGTCTAGTCTATAGTATAGTCTACAGTATAGTCTATAGAATATAGTCTAGTCCTATAGTCTAGTCTATAGTCTAGTCTATAGTCTAGTCTATAGTCTAGTCTATAGTCTAGTCTATAGTCTAGTCTATAGTCTAGTCTATAGTCTAGTCTATAGTCTAGTCTATAGTCTAGTCTATAGTCTAGTCTATAGTCTAGTCTATAGTCTAGTCTATAGTCTAGTCTATAGTCTAGTCTATAGTCTAGTCTATAGTCTAGTCTATAGTCTAGTCTATAGTCTAGTCTATAGTCTAGTCTATAGTCTAGTGTATAGTCTAGCCTATAGTCTAGTCTATAGTCTACAGACTGGACCTTTGAGTCTACTCCATAGTTTGGTCTATAGTTTAGTAAACAAAAAAATAGTCAGTCTCTCGATAACTATTGAAACTATTATAGTCAAGAGAACTTGTTCTTTGAAAGCATGGTGCAAAGGGTGCACTTTTGCAGGTCTTTATATATTAAAATTTGAACCCATTAATTTCTCTGATTATACCATTTGCACATAATATTCTTAACATTATAAACAAATTTTAAATTGATAGCATTTTCATCAAACTTTATGTGTTTATTTATTAACCCCCTTATTCACAAACAACATTTTTATTTTATAAAAGGTTTATAAAACAAATTTTCCATACAAAATCTAATTTATAAACTGTTTATAAAATAAAAATTTTGTTTGTGAATAAGGGGGTAAATCGTTACACATTTGTTAAAATTACAGTTATTAGGTTAAAGAGAAATGCGCTCATCATTAAGACAAACAACTGCAGAAAAAACTATAAAGAAAACTCCATTAAAATCTTAGAAAACCATAAAGAAAACAACTCGTTTATTTCCATGTTCCTGAAAACCACGTGCTGGCAAACAAAATAAAGTTTTTCCGCGAAAACATTCAAAGACAAAATTTCGCGTGTCAAAGACACTTCTAGCCGCAACTAACAAAACTTGTATCAGTTTTTTTTTATATTTTTCTTTAGGGATTGATTAATTTTGGTCGCCAAGAGAACAAGAACATTGTTTGCTATTTAATATGTTATTAAGCGGAAAAAACTGTAGTAAATCTAGAAAATAGTTAATATTTGAAACATTAAGAAATAGGAAATACAACTTGCCACATCTTACAGTAATTTCGCCAGCCAGAAAATGACGTGTTTATAGGGGATTCTCATGTGAAAACGAAAAGTGATTTAAGTGATTAAATTGACATTAAATTATGTTAGATTAATGAGAATGTGTGTATTAAGTTTTTAATTTATTACTATTAAAAGTAATATGAAAAATTCGACTATTTGGGAATCCGCCAGTCGTCCGCTATTTGTGCGCACTGTATGGCTAGAGGGCTCTGAGTTAAGACGTGGTTTGCAAAGACATTTTCTATTGGATTATGACACTAAAAGGCCTTTGGAAAGACTTAATTCGGCCATAAATCCCTTGCAGCAAAAACGTAAAGGTTTGTTTTAGAACAAAAATTTATAGAACATTTTTTTATATAATTTTCTTTAATATAGACTCTTTAAAACGTTCCATTTCCTTTGAGCTAAATGATTTCAACGATTTGGAGGATTTTCACAACAACGATCCAGATAGTTTTCTTATAGGCTCGGCCAAAGTAAAACTGCACGAACCCTCTAAACTAGCAGCGGATAAAAAGTCTAAATTACTTAAATCCCGCCGATCATCATTATACAAACGCAAGTTTCAAAGTTATGATAGTTATCACACCTGTTCCTCCAAAGCTAATAGTCGAAGACCCTCAGATATTTCGGAATTGTTTTCACGCAAAAACTCTTTACAACATCCACAAATAGCCGAAACAGCTGATGAACTTTTGGCCGAAAGGGTATTACATTGGTTGGATTTGGCTGGTAAAGAAGAATTTCTGAAAAATCTGTCTGAATTAAAGGAAATGGAGGTGAAATTAAGTAAAGCCTCTAAACTAAGGCAAGATGCCATTAAGAGATATAATTCCAAATCCCAAAATTCGCAAAGACCTAAGCCCCCTAAAAACAAAGCAGGACAAAGGGCTGCCACCGCTAATGCTCAACTAAGTAATCAAAGGAATTGTAAAACCTCGGAGGCCGTCAAACATATAACCATTATATTCAATAAAGAAGGTCAACCCATACGTTTGAATAGGCCCGCTAAAAATATAGATCTTTGTGCCTTAGCCAACAGTCCCAGCACGACCCGTAGGCTAGCCGGCTCTCTCGCCTCCGCACGTTTATATAAAAGTGCTGAAAATCCTCGCTGTTTAAATGTACCCAAAACACAATATACAAAATCTAAGAATATTAACGAATCTACATCTGCTCGTCGCCGTTTGGATACCGTGGCCGATTTAACAAATTCCACTTTACAGAAACGTTTGCATGAGAATCCCATGCAGGGTACTTACAATAATTTACACGATTCCAAGAAACAGCTGCATATTTTTATGCCCACTTTACCGAAAAAGAGTTTGCAGAGAAATGCCGTCTATGCTGGCGATGATGGCATTAGTGAATTGAG